AGGAAGGAACGCCCTCCTTCAAGGCCACCTTTCCTCTTTTCAGACTTGGGGAGGGGGTTCCAAAGCCGAGGTCACTCGGTCAATTGAGATCAGAGTGCCTGGCATGTAACAGGTGCTGGAGAATTATCTGTTGAGTCCCTGAGTGGGGAGCTCTCTGCTGGTGGTCTGGTCTGGATGGTGTGGTCTCAGGACTGGAGTCTCTTTTCTGAGTCTGGTTATAGTCAGAGAGTCTGGCCCCCTCACTTCAAGGCCAAGGTCTCTCTGGGGCTGGGGTCTCCAGGGCTGGGTTTGTTTCTCACCATCTTGCCCCGAATGCCAGGCAGGATGATGATGAAGGTGACCAGTGCAGTCAGAAAGATGGTGATGATGATGGCCGAGGTGGTGTCCATTGGGAAGGTCGGCTTGGGGCCAGGGTAGAAGGGGAATGTGTGTCCGAAAGCAGCCATTTTGGTAGAGGTGTATGGGGGAGGTGGATGCTGTGCAACAAAAATAGTTGTTTACTGAGCGCTCTCTATGCACCAGGCACTGTTCTTGGTGCTGGAGGTATAGCAGAGAATAACCAGAGCACGCCCCTCTTCTCTGGAGCTCCCCAGACTCCACTGTTACTGCTATTCCACTGCCCCTCAGCCATCCATCTCCCTATGTTTTGTCCATGAGAGAATGAGGGTCTTGGCAATCAGTCTCTGCTACCCCATGCTCCCTTCCTAACCCCCAGGTCCCCTAAATTGTGCCACCACTACCCTCGAGGCTTCTATGCTTCCTCTGGGACTATCTTAAGAAATATAATTCTCTTTTATCTCCCTCTGGCCTCTGGCACAAGCAGACAGATCACAGAACATAAAAAGGGCTATATTTACTATTACTTGAAGGCATAAGGCTGGAAGATGGTACAAATTACAAAAAGATTGGCTTTCCTCCTCAGGCCCCAAAGGAACAAAGGCCAGATAGCTCTGCTAAGTATATAATCCAACTACATTATCAGCAGGCTGATTCACAGACCTGGTACTGCCTACACTGGTCTGTCCAGCTTTCTCAAGCACGCTGGCTCCTGCTCTGGCAACTCCAGAACAATCGAGCTGAACTGAGCTCCACTTAGTAAGCGCTGAAGGAGCATCTGCCCTCCACCAGGCACAGTGCTGGGGCCAGATGTCCTTCTACCCCACACATCATCAACAGCAGCCTTCCTCCTGGACTCAAATTCTTGGGCCTTGTTTCAGCTCAAACCCTGGCTTAGCTCTTCTCTGCCTGTCCCCTGATCTCAGAGCTAGTTTGGCTCTAGTTTGTCCCTTTGCAGACAGGATATTGAGGAAATGGTACCTGAACTTACTGTGTTTTCTTAAATCCAGACAGAATGGAAGATATGCTATTATTTTATGCACCACAAAGAAAGAAAGAAAGAAAACCCTGCCAATTAAACCATGACAGCCATTGTTGGTAAGATGCACCTCAATTTCAGAGATGTCAAAATGTGAAGGAAAAAAAAAAGCATCTTACATGATCTCAGCCCTGCTCATTTCCCTGAGTGTGATCTGTCCTGGGGCGCTGGTTTGCCCAGGAGGATCCATAATTTATAGTCTGACCAGGTAGTGTCTTGTTAAGCGATATAGTGAAAGAAAAAGCGTTGGAGTTAAGCAGCTCTGTGTTTGAATTCTGTCTCTGCCTCTTGCAAGTTAGTTGACCCCTATCTACAGAGACTTGGGGTTTTTTTTTTTTTATTGGGGTCTTATTGGCTTACAACATTGTGTAAATTTCAGGTGTACATCACTATATTTCAATTTCTGTATAGACTGCATCCTGTTCACCACCAACAATCCAGTTTTTATCTGTCACCATACGTATGTGCCCCTTTACCCCTTTCACCCTCCCCTCACCCTCTTCTCTGGTAACCACTAATCTGTTCTCCTTATCTATGTGTTTGTTTGTTTATCTTCCACATATGAGTGAAATCATACTGTATTTGTCTTTCTCTGAGACTCAGTTTTATTAAAAATAGGGATGATAATAATGTTTACTTCATAGGGTCATTGTGAGTATGAAACGAGATTGTGTATGTAAAGTGCTAAGAATAGTACCTGAAACAGAGTAATGTCAATAAACGGAAGCGACTAGGTTGGGAAGGAGCAGGTATTTCGTTACTCCATTTATCTCTTCCTCCAATCCTTGGAGAGAACCCTGGGCTGGAATCAGTTCTGGGTCTAGTCCCGGTTCTTCACTGACTAATTTTATAACATTGGACAGGCAAATGACAACCTCCCTGGTCCTTGGTCTTAATAGAGATGAGCCACTCCTGTAAAATATTTTATAACCTTCCTTTATAATAAATACAGGAATGATGCTAATATGTGACCCTGACCAAAATACATTATACTATTAGTATTTCCTTATATTGCAGATACTTGTTTTTGAAGTTCCAGCATATAACTGGTATTCTTACTATTAGCAAACTTGCTTTATCTTCTTATCTTATTAACTAAGATATTCTACATTTTATAGACTTTCCTAAAAAATATAGCCTTCCATCAAAATTGTAATAGCTTCAGTCTAGGTGTCATAAATTTAAAAAATAAAAAATTCTTAGACCAATAAACATCTGCTTTAAAATAAATATCACTATTTTACAAAATAATTTAATCCACAAATTCTTAGTTACTCATCTTCAGCTAGAGTTGAAACGTATGTTTCAGATTCAATTAAACATGAACGTTCATGCTTTGGAGACTCCAACTATTGGAATAGGCTTTCTGAAAATTTTGTGAAAGCACTAAAAATTGACAGGGTTCATCAAATCCCTTCCTGCCCAGTCCTTAGCCCTATATCGGTGATACTCAGTTAATGTTGAATGAGAGTGTAGTATAGGGCAATAGGGAGCATAGCTGATAGTTCTCAAATCTGTCTCTCCAGGTAGACCTCCTACCTGGGCTTCAAACACAAAAGGGCCAATTACCCCATGGATGTTTTCACTTGGATGATCCATGGATGCCAAATTTAACAGGTACCAAACTGAATTCACCATCTGTATTCTGTTTTGTCTCTTTGGTGGCATCACCACCACATCAATCAAATAAGCCAGAGACCTGGACCATCTTACCTCCTAAATATTTCTTGAAACCAACCATGCATTTTCTTCCCTACTGCCTCTGCCCTAATTCAGCCTCATCCTGTCTTGCCTGGTGCCAGAACAATTTTTCTAACAAGCAAATACAATCTTTTCATTTCTTTGCTCTGGGTAAAATCTAATTTTCTCACCATTACGTACAAAGTCCTTTGTGATCTGGTCCCACTTACCCTTCCATCCCCATCTCTTGCTCAGCCTAACCTCTAGCCATACTATACTGCCTGCCTCTCCCTGAATCTGACATGCTCTTTCAAGCCTTCATGCCTTTGTATATGCTATTTCCTCTGCCTGGAATGCTCTTACCCCCTTGGCAAGCTCTTTTTCACCCTTTAAGTCTCAGCTTGTATTACCTCCTCTGTGAGGCTTCCTCTGACGCCATTGGGCCAGTGTGGATGTCCCCACCTCTAACCTTCTGATTGCATTTTGAACATACCTCCATGATCACAATAATTACACTATACTCTAATTGTTTGAACATCTGTCTTCTTGTTAGCTTCTAATATCCTTAAGGGCAGGGACTTTTTCCTTCTTTGCATCCTCTGCAGGCAGCATATACTTATCAGTCTGTGGATCAAATGAACGAACAAATATATGAATGAGTTCGTTCCTCTCCCTGCAGGTGGCATCTTCTATTTCGAACACAAGAGGGAGCTATCTCCCTCACTGAGCTCCCTCAATGAGGGGCTATGCTCCCTTGTTGCCCTATGCTACCCTCTCATTCAACATTAACTGAGTATCACCGATATAGGGCTAAGGACTGGGCAGGAAGGGATTTGATGAACCCTGTCAATTTTTAGTGCTTTCACAAAATTTTCAGAAGGCCTATTCCAATAGCTGGAGTCTCCAAAGCATGAATGTTCATGTTTAATTGAATCTGAAACATACATTTCAACTCTAGCTGAAGATGAGTAACTAAGAATTTGTGGATTAAATTATTTTGTAAAATATGTGACAGTGATATTTATTTTAAAGCAGATGTTTATTGGTCTAAGAATTTTTAAAATTCATTTTTTAATTTATGACACCTAAACTGAAGCTATTGCAATTTTGATGGAAGGCTATATTTTTTAGGAAAAGTTATCAAATGTAGAATATCTTAGTTAACAAGAGAGGAAGATAAAGCACATTTGCTAACAGTAAGAATACCAGTTATATGCTGGAACTTCAAAAACAAATATTTTCAATATAAGCAAATAATAATAGTGCAACGTATTTTGGTCAGGGTCACATATTAACATTATTCCTGCATTTATTTTAAAGGGAGGTTATAAAATATTTTACAAGAACGGCTCATCTCTATTAACATGGTGCTTCAAAGAAACACTAACAAAAGGCTTTCTGTATCTTAAGTACAGAAGAACGTTAACTTATTTCCAATTCTCCAAAATATTTATTAAAGATGACTAAAGCAAAAAGACAGTTGGTGAATAAAGTTTGCCTTGTTTAATTTCTTCTTGTTCAGTTTAATGAATTAGACCTTCCTTAATCTACATTGCCTAATTTAAAGATAATTTTTCATGACCATGATCCTAATTTGATTTTAATTATTAAGCTAACAGACCTCCTGCATGAAGAGGTGGGACTGAAATGAGAAGTCCACACACTCAGCAATCCTGCTTTTCCTACAAAGCTCCTAGTTTCTCTTGGGAACATCTTCCTCTCTGCCCTGCCCAGGAGAGTCTGACAGTAGAATTCTCCTAACCTGAGAAAAATCTCCTGTCAATCTTCACTCCACTCACTTCTCCCCTAGCTCACCACCATGACTGGTGTATATATATAAATATATATATAAATAAATATATATATATAAATATA